CTTACTACTCTTAGGGTTGCCAGGTATGTCTCATGTATTTCTTATGGTTGCCAGATATTTTTCAGAAGTATTTCTCAGGTATTTGAGGCTGCCTAGCTGGTGCTGGTATTGCAGTAATAAACAGAGTATAAACAGAGATTATTCTGCAATACCAGCACCAGCCAGTAGGGGTCACTGTTTGTGTGGAGAGAGGTAGGAATAAGAAGTTACTGCATCTCCCTCCCTGCCTCTTTCTACTTACTGATCTGCGGGGGAGCAGCTCTGCACAGAGAGGCCAGACAGCAGCTCTGAGCCTGCGAGACATGGGGACAGTGAGAAACTTGGGGACGCTGAGACATTGGGACACTGTGGAACATGGGCACCCTGACACACTAAGGACACAGTGGCCCCATGTCTCCCAGTGGCCCCTAGTCGCTCAGTGTCCCCATGTCTCCCAGCCAGTGTCCCTAGTGTCTCAGTGTCCCCATGTCTCCCAATGTACCTGGTGTCTCTGTGTCCCTGGTGTCTGTGTCCCTAGTCTCCCAGAGTCCACTAGTCTCCCAGAGTCCCCATGTATCTGTGTCCCCATGTCTCTCCCAGTGTCTCAGTGTCCCCATGTCTCACAGTGTCCCAATGTCTCTAAGTGTACCCTAGTGACATCGGGACACATGGGGACAGAGACTCTCAGAATTCCTAGTCTCCCAGTTTCCACATGTTTCACAGTGCCCCCAAGTGTCTCAGTGTCCCCTTGTAAAAAAGAAAAAAAATCTCAGGCACTCACTGTGATAGATTTAAGCAGGTTTATTGGACACCGCAATGTTTTGACCTGTACCCAGGTCTTTATCAAGTCTCCAGTGTCCCCTATATATCACAGTGTGCCCTATATATCACATTGTCTCAGTGCCCTATGTCTCCCAGTGTCCCCTCGTGTCTCAAAGTCACCCAGTGTCCCCAGGTCTCCAAGTGTTCCCTAGTATCACAGTTTCCCCAGGTCTCCCAGTGTCCCAATGTCTCTCAATGTCCCCCAGTATCCTAGTGATATGGGGACACTGGGATACATGTGGCTCACATTACAAAATCCTATCAGTGATTGGTAAAGGCAGGACTGAAAGACATCACCAATCAGGGCCGGACTGGGGACACAAAGCAGCCCTAGAAAAAAAAAATCTATGCCTGCCCCATAAGTCATTGTGCCATGTATTAGCACATGTAATATGTAAGACTATGTCTTGCCACCCCAGATGATTGAGTAATATATAAACATATATAAACACATTATATATATATATATATATATATATATATATATATATAACTGTGTGTTTATATATTACTCAATCATCTGGGGTGGCAAGACATAGCCTTACATATCATTGGTTTACATATATATATATATATATATATATATATATATATATATATATATAGTGTATATTGGATTAGCCATATTATTCCAATAGACAAGATGCCAAAATACCATTATGCAATGATACCTTTTTTATTGGACTAACATAATATGAGTTTATGTATATCAGTGTAATTGTTTGTCTATGAGGTTGTGTATCAATGAGCTTGTGTGTGTCAGTGAGATTTTTGATGCCAAAATACCAGAGTATTGCAATATGCAATGATACCTTTTTTATTGGACTAACAATATTTCCAAGACAAGCTTTCAAGAGTTTTCCTCTCTTCATCGGGTCTGAAGCAATACTGATCAATCTTTAACATCAGTTGTTTTAAGTGTTAAACTCTATCAGATTGATAAGTTTTGCTTCAGACCCAATGAAGAGAGGAAAACTCTTGAAAGCTTGTCTTTGAAATATTATGTTAGTCCAATAAAAAAGGTATCATTGCATATTGCAAGCACACAGATGCACACAAATAGGCTCACTGACACACAGGCAAGCTTATTGGTATACACACACAGACAAACTGACATGCACAAGCTTACTACAGACAAGCTCACTGTCACACACACACACATGCTCACCGACACACACAAGCTCATACACACATGCTCCCTACAGAAAGGCTCACTGACACACACATGCTCAATAGAGACAAGCTCACTGAGGCACACATACTCACTATAGACAAACTCACGGGCGAACACATGCTCACTACAGACAAGCTCACTGATGCACATATGCTACCTACAGACAGGCTCACTGATGCACACATGCTCACTACAGATAAGCCCACTGACGCACACACGCTCACTACAGACAAGTCCACTGACACACACATGCCTTTTACTGATAGGCTTACTGACACACAACATGCTCACTACATACAAGCACACTGACACACACATGTTCACTACAGACAAGCTCACAAACACACGTGCTTACAACAGACAAGCTCACTGACACACACGCTCACCACAGACAAGCTCACTGACATACACATGCTCCCTACAGAAACGCTCACTGACACACACACATGCTTCCAACAGACAAGCTCACTGACACACACACATGCTCACTACGGACAAGCTCACTTACAGACACACACATACAAGCTCACTCACTAGCAGATACATTTACACACAAGCTCACTCACTAGCAGGCACACATACACACAAGCTCACTCACTAGCAGCGACACACACAAAAGCTCACTCACTAGCAGGCGCAAACACACACACACACACAAGCTCACACGCTAGAAGGCACACACACAAAAGCTCACTCACTAGCAGGCAAACACACACAAGCTCACTCACTAGCAGGCACACACATACACGCTCACTCACTAGCAGACACACACACAAGCTCACTCACTAACAGGTGCACACATACACACACACACACTCACTGTCATGGCTGAAGCTTACCTGGCACTGATAGGTGAAGTTGCCATTTTGAGGCCCTTCTTTACAGTGAGGTTAGCAACGAGCGTGCAGGTGGGACTTGCATGTGGGAGGTGGAGCTATGTTCAGTAGGCGGGGCTTGCAATTGTGCAGGGAGACTGAGAGGTCTCCCTCAAGCCGCGGGAAGCCTGATTGCGGCTGCACCAGCCTCCAGCTCCTCCCTCTTTACTCCACCCAGACTGACACAGGCTGGTACAGTCCGAGGGGAAAATTATTTAAATTACATTAGCCTCGTGATTTGGGCTGTTTGCCCTGCTCCAGGTGACGTGGCCCACCAGGAAATTTCCCGGTATCCCAGTGGACCAGTCCGGCACTGTCACTGATGCACTAACCCTAGCAGCACAGAAACAGGCACTAGACCTCAGATCAATCGAAACAGTAGTCTACTATACAAGACTAAACCCAAGGTGCAGACTGTGCAAAGGAGCATATGAGACAAACCAGCACATAGTAGCTAGGTGCAAGGTGTTAACAGGGAAAGCTTACACAGAGAGGCAAATCCAAGTTGCTGGGATTGTGCACCAATATGGGCTGGACATGCTTAAGATGGGGGATGCCACAAAGAGTAGTTGAGAATGATAGGGCTAAGATCCTGTAGGACTTTCAGATCCAGACAAACAAGCAAGTACTGGCCAGCCAACCTGACATCGTGGTGGTAGACAAGAAACAGAGGGCTGTGGTGGTAGATGTGGCAATACTCAGTGACATTAGGAAGAGGGAACATGAAAGGGTATACCAAGGACTGAAAGAAAAGCTAGAAAGGATGTGGAAAGGGTAAGGCAGTAGTAGTCCAAGTTGTGATAGAAGCACTTGGGCCTGTGGCCCCAAGTTGGGGAAATGGCTATAGCAGATTCCAGGTGGGACATCTGAGAATTCTGTCCAGAAGAGTGAAGTTCTAGGAACAAGATACTGCGTATAACCCTCAGACTCCCATGTCTCTGGTAGAGGGATACACAAGAAATATCACCCAGAGGCGTGAGAGAGTCAATTTATTTATATAGATTTATTATATATAAATAATTTTATATATAAATAATTTAAGATATGTTTATCTGAGTTTAGGGAGATGATTTGTTCAAACATGCATTACTACTATTGACACACAGGATTTTGTTTTCTGTGAAGACACTTTAGATGGATTAAATGCTGAGACTGAGCTTCTGGTTTATTTAATTCATTTTATTTAATGCTGTCTGGAATGATTACAAGGTTGCGTTTGTCCCGGTTTTCTTGATTGAAAATGTATCACTGGTCATGGGCCATCTGTTCAATGCATTTTACAAATAAATATAGCACAACAGCTATTTTATTCTCTCCAAATGAGCATGTGGTAAGTGGGTGTGCAAACTAGGTGGTACAAAGATTAAGCAACTCTTCTTAACTCCACTATCAGGACATAAGATAAGCAAGTGACTTTAGTACTGAGAATGTATACAGAGAATGCATGCAATTGTAATTATACATTCAGTGCAAACATAATGTCCATGCAACAAAAGTTCCAGTACATAGTACTGGGTACAAATGTGTAATGCTGGTACAATAATTTAACTGATCTAGGAAACCAGGATTGCTGTAGTACTGTGGAGCACATCCCCTGAATAATAACAAACATTCTTATAGAGAGGAAATTCTATCATGTCTCTGCTTAGGAGACACCCTATATAGAGGTATAAAGGAATGGCCTCTGTGAAATGGACAGAAGACATGAATAAGATAAGCTCTCAAGTAGTGCTTATATTAAGCCTGTAGTACTATATGTATCTGCTACCAAGAAGTAAAACTAATACAGTGGGACCTCGGTTTACGAATTTAATGCGTTCTCCATGACGTTTCGTATTGCGAAAAATTCGGAAACACAGATTCCCATAGGAATTCATTGAAAACCAATTAATGCGTTCCGGAGGTGAGAAAAAGTCAAATAAAGTATTTTATCTGTTCAAAACTCTTTATAAAATGCACTTTAAAGGCATAAATACTGTACAGGGACATGATTAATCAAGCAATAACATTTCAAACATCCAACTTTATGTTTTAAAACATCACACATCAACTTTTAAAACATGGCAGACTGTTGGTAACATGGTACAGTACAATTCAACTGTACATAAATCACACGTCAACAGGGAAAACATGGAAAATTTCAAAAAATTTTAACGCTTTTTAGAAGATGAGTTGGACGAGGGCAATTGGGCAGCACTAACACAAGCAAGTTCTTCTTCATGTCTAGGCTGTTTTTGTAGGAACCTTTCCATTGTCTGCTGCCTCTGGCGCCTTTTAAGCATCCCTCGGAAAGGGGACATGATGTCTGTGTCAAAACTGCTCACAGGTCTGTGGGCTAGAGCCTTATCTGGGTGGCGCTGCTGTACAAAAGTCTGTAGGTTTACCCACATTTGGCATGCCTCCTTGAGTGCCGTGGAAGAGAGCTGTTCCTCACTCATTTCCTCCTCCTCCTCCTCAAATGCGGTCTGCTCCTCCATCGCCTCCTTCTGCAATTCCACCAGCTCCTCGGTGGTTAGGTCACGGTCGTGTTCCTCCACCAGCTGGTAGACATCCTCCTCAGTCACCTCCAGGCCCATGTTCCTCCCCAAGGAAACAATTTCCTCCAACACTGTTGACTCTGGTGCAGGTGCAGAAGCACTGGAGGCAGGTTTCACAACACAGTCTGGCCACAGGTTGCACCAAGCAGAATTTAGCTTTGTCTGGCTGACCCCGGCCTAGGCAATGGTTATAATCTGCAGACAGCTCACAATGTCAAAATGATCTCTCCAAAATTCATGGAGTGTGAGGCTTGAGCAATCTATCATCTCAAAGCATCGCCGGAAAAGCTCCCTTGTGTAGAGTTTTTTAAAATTGGAGATGACCTGCTGGTCCATTGGCTGGAGTAGTGGGGTGGTGTTAGGCGGAAGGAACATGACCTTGATGAAATTAAAGTCCTCCAGCAAGTCTTCCTCGAGGCCTGGAGGATGGTCAGGAACATTGTCCATGAGCAGCATGGCCTTGAGTGGCAGGTTATTGTCCACAAGGTACTTCTTCACAGCAGGACCAAAAACCACATTGACCCACTTCACAAACAAGAGGCGTGTGACCCAAGCCTTTGAGTTATACTGCCACAAAATGCTCAACTGCTCCTTGTTCACCTTGTGTTTCTTGAAGGCTCGTGAGTTCTCTGAATGGTAGAAAAGCAGGGGCTTGATCTTAAGGTCCCCACTGGCGTTGGCGCAGAACAGGAAGGTGAGACGGTCCTTCGTCGGCTTGTGGCCAGGCAATGAGGTCTCCTCTTCTGTGATGAAGGTACGCTTTGGCATCCTCTTCCAGAAGAGTCGAGTCTCGTTGCAGTTGAAGACCTGCTGAGGAACGTAGCCCTCTGAAACTATGACCTCCAGGAACTCCGTAGCAAATTCCTCAGCTGCAGCAACATCGGAACTTGCAGCCTCTCCATGCCTGACCACACTGTGGATGCCAGATCTGGTCTTGAACCTTTCGAACCACCCCCTGCTGTCCTTGAAGCTTTCTGCATCTGCTGACGTTCCTGGCAGTTGTTTGAGGAGGTCAGCGTGCAAGGCCTTGGCTTTTTCACAGATGATTGCCTTGGTCACTGAGCCCCCTGCACGCTGCTTCTGTTCAATCCAGAGCAGGAGCAACTTCTCGACCGCCTCCAGAACAGGTGGCCGTTGCTTGGAGACCCTGGTGACTCCCTTGGCTGCATCTCTCCCAGTTATCTTCTTTTTCATTTTTAGGATTGTACCGATTGTGGATGCTCTCCTTCCATACTCTTTGGCAAGGTCAGTCAATCGCATTCCTCCTTCATGCTTCCTGATGATTTCTTTCTTGTCCTCAAGCTGAATCATCTCTTTCTTCCTCTTCCCAGCTTCCGCTGCTTTCTTGGGTGCCATAACACCACCGTCACTAAGTATGCAAAAGAAAAAAAATGCTTTACACCCACATGACCTGGCATGGAAACCACAGTAAAAGGCATGCACAGCACATGAGCTGTAACAGGCATGCACAGCACATGAGCTGTAACAGGCATGCACAGCACATGAGCTGTAACAGGCATGCACAGCGCATGAGCTGGCATGGAAACCAGAGTAAAAGCCATGCACAGCACATGAGCTGTAACAGGCATGCACAGCACATGAGCTGTAACAGGAATGCACAGCACATGAGCTGTAACAGGCATGCACAGTGCATGAGCTGCCATGGAAACCACAGTAAAAGCCATGCACAGCACATGAGCTGTAATAGGCATGCACAGCACATGAACTGGCATGGAAAACAACCCCACATTGCAAAACACACAGTACAGTACTGTAACAGGCATGCACAGCATATGAGCTGTGACAGGCATGAACAGCACATGAGCTGGCATGGAAATCACCCCACAATGCAGAACACACAGTAAAAGGCATGCAAACAACTAAGCTCAGCTCCCTACCTTTCCACCTCTTGAGATGCACCAAAAAGGCTCAAAAACTTGCTGCAAATGGCTCCACAACTTGCTGCAAACAGCTCCAAAACCTCTCCAACACCTCCACACTCACGTGATACCCAGACTCCAGTATGCAGAGGGCGGAGCTATAAACCGGGACACTTGTTTCGTATTGCGAAAAAAATTTGTAAACTGAGGCATTTTTTTTTCACGAATGATCATTCGTAAGCCGAATTTTTCGTTTACCGCGGCGTTCGTTAACCGAGGTTCCACTGTAGTGCAAATAAATTATAAATCATATTGCTTCTATCATGTGCCAGTTCTGTTCTCTATCAATAATATTTCATTTTTGGAGTTGATACCCCTAAAGTTGCCCACTTACATTTGGGTTTGTGTTTCTTGTAATTAAGGAACATGTTCAACTCATTCTCAGCTATGCTGAAGAATAGAATGAGTAAAATAAAATGAGGTGCCTATATCAAACTGCTGCCATCTGGTGGAGAACTGCTCTGGAAATTAAATTAAATGGGCTAAGACAGTTTGCCATTATGTGGTGAAATTAGCACCCATTACCATTATGCCATTGTTTCCAATCTTCTTGTCCCTTTCTGTCCTGGGTTCTTTTTAACCATCTTTAGGTGCTGCCAGGGCCGGATTAAAATAGGGGCTGATGGAGCTGCAGCTCCAGGCCCAGGCCCAGGCCCATGGAATAGGCTATTACTCTGCAATACAAGCACCAGCCAGTAGGGGTCACTGTGTGTGGAGAGAGGCAGGGATAGGAAGTTACAGCATCTTTCTCCCTGCCTCTCTTTACCCACTAATCCGCGGGGGAGCAGCTACACAGCACAGAGAGTTCAGACAGCAGCTCCCAGCCTGCAGAGACAGACTACAGCTCAGGGAAGTGAGGGATGAGGGGAAAGGCAGCAAGAAAACATGGGGACACTGAGACACTAGGGAACACTGGGAGACCTGTGGATGCTGAGACACATGAGGATGCAGTGAGACATAGGGACATTGGGATACAGTGTCCCAATGACTATGTCCACAAGTGTCCTCAAGTGTCTCATTGTCCCAAAGTGTCTCAGTGTCCCATGTCTCCCATGGTCCCCAGGGTCCCCTAGTCTCCCAGTGTCTGTGTTCCCATGTCTCTCAGTGTCCCTAGTGTCTTAGTGTCTCCAAATGTCTCAGTGTCCCCAAGTCTCCCAGTGCCTGTGTCCCCATTTCTCTGTGTCCACATGTCTCCCAGTGTCCCCAAGTGTCTCAGTGCCCCCATGTCTCCCAGTGTCCCTGGGTCTCTGTGTCCCCATGACTCACTGTTTCCCCATGTCTCTCAGTGTCCCCTAGTGACACAGGGGACACTGGGAGAAATGGGGACACAGTCACTGGGAGACTAGGGGACTGGGCGACATGGGGACACTAACACTGTGATACAGAGGGAAACTGATGCCAGGCTGGCCTTCCAATTCTTTGGACAGATTTGCCCCTTTTTTGGGCATGTTCGCCCTTTTGGCAGTTCTGGCAGTCACGTGATCTGCGTCAGTGGCCCACCCTTTTACCACGCCCATTGACTTCCTGTTTCACTGTTAGGGGATATGGATTTACTTGAAAGATCCTTTGAGTTTCCCTCCAACACCATCTCCATCAGATACATGACACTTGAGAGGTATGACTGTTTTAGTGTCTTTGGTCAATAAGATTCTGTAATTAGGCCCCATCGTAATTGTCAGCACCAGGCCCACTGGGCTCTTAATCTGGCCCTGGGTGCTGCTACCTAGCAAGATGTGGCAAGAGGTTTGCATAATATTCTTCCATTAGGTCCATTATGGTAACTAAAGACTACAACAAGAATAAGAAGGGTAATAAAACGTGTTGCTAAACATTAAATGTTCAATTGTGTCATTTAGAGGATAACAGCATGGAAGAGAACTCAAGATCCAGAGAGTACTTATCTGCCCGCTATATATATTACTACTTATATGTATAAGAATGGTTCAGTTATGCATGTGCATTTTACTCATGATTTACATACAGCTTTATATTATTATATTGACTATTTTGATATATCTTAAGTAAATGCCACATGCTTTATTCTTGTTAAAAATAGCATACTATTTTTATTGGCATTATGGGTGTGGTACACATTGCCAATTGTATTATTATCCCAATATGTTAATCTAACCACTCATTTGAGGTAAAGCTAAAAGGAGTCAGACTCATGCTCTAATCTACAAATGTCATGTACCCCAACCTCCTTTTGCAGGGTCCATAGATGGAGGTGACCTGACTAGGCCTTAATGAGCAGCAGTAGGCACTTAGGAGTAGGAGTTCAGCAGTGCTCTCAGCAAAGTCCTGCAGGCTGAGGCAGAGCAGACAGGCGGCTGAGCATACAGGCCTTTTCAGTCATTCAGTGCATGGGTCTGCCCATTTATTGAACTTGACCGCCTACCCAATCTGCATATCTCTTAATGTTGGATGGTATGTGTTTGTGATAGGACAGCTAGACAATATAGTACAAAGGCAACTGTTAAAGGATAATTTTACTTAAAAGCATCCTATAGACATAGCTATAGTAATGGAACTTTCTACTAAAGATGCACAAATAAATCATGACTCAGCTCAAGCAGTTTGTGATAAGGAAGAAAAAGGTATTTGCCATACCAAGATGTACAAACTCAATAAGTGCCTCAGACATCGTTGTCACAGGCAAATACCTGCTAGTTTAAGAACCACAGTTGCTATGAGTGTGGGAAGATCGGTCATACTCAAAGATTGTGCAAAAGTTCCTGAGACAGAAATAAAACCAAGAAATACAAATTATGTTTAGCATTTCCAGGTAAGGTGGATAATCCAAAAACAGAGTCTAATGAAGACATACCATTATACACATTTCAAATCTGCAATCATGCAAAGACAATTCCAGAACTGTAAGCAAAAAGGTTTATACAGGTGGTAAATCTCTGCCTATGGAAGTCGATACAGGAGCATCAGTCTTTGTCATCACATGTGCTGAATGGGACAGACTGGGACTAAAATATTTAAATAAATAATAAACCTTATTGGTTATGTATCACCTACCGTGACATGTAATGGTATAACCAAAACCACTACGTCTCTACATTTTTCATAAAGGAGAACCACCATTATCTTTACCGAAGTAGCTCATACACCGTCTTTTAAAAAATACTGTCTCTGGATTTAATGGTGTGCAAAGGCATTTGCAACTTTTTCTGGAATCAAGGCTCCTTGTCCTCTATTGCCTTAAAACCTTTGGTACTGGGGTGCAGTACTTACACATATTATGCCCGATGATCCTAAACGTGTTTTGTCTTTTGCGTCCAGATCTTTAACTCCAGCTGAGATCATTTATGCCCAGATTGATCAGGAAGCTCTAGCAACAATCTGGGCTGTGAAGAAATTCCACATTCATATTTATGCGAGACCTTTTACTCTGATCACGGATCATAAACCACTATTGTCATTTTACACCCTTTAGAAGGTCATCCCTAACACAACAAGGACTCGACTTCAATATTATGCACTTCAGCTTGCAGCTGACAACTACTCAATTAAATATAGTCACCTAAGTGATCATACTAATGTGGATATATTTTCAAGATTACAATGGAAGCATATTCTGAAATAGAAGCTTCTCTTCAGCCTTTGAATCTAAATTCCAAGGTGATTGCGACTTATACGTTCTCTAATTCTACATTACAGGAGATTAAAGGGACACTCCACTGCCTAAATAAAAAATTTGTAAAAAAAATAATAATACTAATTCTTTAGTAGATAAACCTACAATAAAAATTTGAGTATGAATTTTTTCATTGGCGATATATGTAAAAACAGCTTTCAAAAGCCACACGTCTCTTATCTAAAGCATTTGCAATCCCTCCCCTTCTAACCCCATCCAGGCATCACAGATTTCCCAATGCCGTTCAATGAGAAGCATGTGCTAGGCAGGTGTTCTGAGCAATTGCTGCCTCTTGAGTTTAGTTCCACTAAGCTAACCAAGCCAGGATGTAGCTTGGAAGGCACAGCTGCCCAATTGACAGTCAGTGTGTATAACAAGGTTAATTTATAAAAGTGCCATTTAAAAAAAAATAACAACTTCACTTTTTGTTCATTGAAAAAGAGGACATACATGCAAGTTGAAGTGCTTTATGAGTCTGGAGTGTCCCTTTAAGTCTTTTGTTTCATGTGGATGGCCTAAAGCAGTTCACCCTGACCTTTACATATTGTGGAAGGAAATTGTGCCAGGCGCCCATGTTGGCTGCCACACTTTTCTTTTCCAGGAATTATCTTAATTTTAATCTCCTTACACTCATAATTCATCACAAATATTTCAAGGACCAATATCGACTCCACATATCTCACAACTGGATTTACCAAAATTGAACAGATGGGATTACTAAACTGAGATACACAACGGATTGAAATATACTTCCACTGGACCATCTTACT